AGAATGCTCCTGGCATCTGTCACTGATAGAGGCCAGTGATGCTTCTGATCATCCAGCAATGCACTGCCCCATCCCTAACCAACACAGAATTATCTGGCCCCAAATGCCAGTATTGCCAGTGTTGAGAAACTTGACCTGTAGTTTATGGGGTGCTCATCTCAATATTTTGTTGTTTTCAACCAACCATTCTTTCTTTTAGAATAATGTCAAATCCAGCCTTGCCAATGATTGCCATTATACTTTTGAATTATTCTCCTTTGGACCAGTATGTCTTCTATCACTAAAAGCTGTAGTGTGAGATATTCAACTCGCTTCCACAAATATTTGTTAAAGCCCGCTGTGGGTTATTTACTGCTCAAACAGAGCAGGGTGCAGAAAACCAAGACAGTAACTCGAGGGCTGTAATGACAGTGATGAGCTATTACTATCTTCAGTACGTAATATACGTTACAGAGATGTGCATGCCCTCTCATCACTGCACACCATGAAGTAGGTATTGTATTCATTAGATTTAAGTTCAGTTGTGAATTTACAGTTGTATAGCAGAAATTTCAGGAGTGGTTTATAAAATGAGGATGTTTATTTGTTTTTTGCATACAAATCCAAAGGTAGGTAGCCCAGGGCAGGAATGGCAGCTCTGCACCAGGAGGGTTTTAGGGCCCCTGCCTACTTACCACCACGCTATTCTTATGGCATCCAAGAGAGTGGCTGCATCTCCAGTCAGCACATCCACATTCAGACAACAATACGGAAAAAAACGATGATGAAAGAGAAGCAAAGAGTGTAGGTAAAGAAGAATCCTAGAAGCTGCCACATGATGCACTCTTACCTTTCACAGGTAGAGCTTAGTTGTACACACACACCTAGTTGCAAGGGAGGCTGACATTCTGTACTGCTGTTCGCACATCTCAAGACTTCTATTACTGGGAACAAGAGGTAAGAGATAAACGGGGAAACAGCAGCAGCCTCTGCACAACTTTTCCTGGCCCTCAGAGGCCAGGACATGGAAGCTCAGGGACATTAAATTGCCTTCGGTTACAGAGATTAAAAATACTAGACATGAGACTTGACCCCAGCTCTGTCTGAAAACAAAGTTCGTATTTGTTTGTTTTCCTGCTGTCACCTCACCTTTCCCTTAATATTTTAATGAACTACGAGTACATCAGTTGTACATCATGGCAAATATTAGGTAAGTGTTAGAATGTGTGGTGTAGAGAGATAGTCCCCCAGTCCTGGCTGTGGTTTAAAAAGCTCACTGGTGCCAACCCTTTGCCAAAGCTCAGGAGACAGCACAGAGGAATCTGTACAGCAGAGGGCCTCACTGGGGCAGGGAGTTAATCAGTTCATCAAAAAAGTTGGTTAACACTGAGAATCACAGGCAATAACACATTCTTTAAACCTTTTACCTTAAAAAATTGCTTTGGAAAATTCTAGACATACACATAATGCGTCCCATGTGCTCATCACCCAGCTTCTGCAATGATCGTCATTCTGCCATTCTTGTTTCATTTCTAACTCCATCTTCTCCCCATCCCCCACTGGAGCTTTTAAATTCTACGTTTTAGACAAAATTTACGTACATTCAAATATGCAAATCTTAGCTGCACAGTTTGGGCAAATGGACACAGAAGTGTGATTTGATTACCCTGGGAAGTTTCTAGAGTTCTCCCACTATAGATTAGTTTTGCCTGTACTGGACTTTCACATAAATGAATTCATACAGAATGGGCTCTTTTGGATCTGGCTTCTTTTCTTCGATGTCATGTCCATGAAATTTACTCATGTTGTTGCATTTGCTCCTTTTTATTGTTGAGTATTACTTCAGTAGGAATATATCACGATTTGTTTATCTAGTCTCCTTCTGAAGCACATTTGGTTCTACAGCTTGGGTTTTCATGAATAATGGTGCTATGAATGTTTTTGCTTAAGTATGTTTGTGGACATATGTTTTCATTTCTCTTAGGTTTATACCCAGCAGTGGATTTACTGGGTCAAAGGACTGGTGTATTAAACATTTTATTTCAACTTAAAACATACAAAAGTATATTCCTTTGCCAATCTTTAGATGTACGGCCAAGTCCTTTCCTTTAAATGTGGGGCCACTGATTGGAATTACAGCTTGTCCTTCCTCCATAAATCACATTCATCTAATACATCAACTATAATATGTAGTTTTGATTTCCTTAAAGTGGAATGAGAACGTAATGACATTTGAAAGAGGTCTCAATGCAGAATCCTTTTGGATTTTCAAAATCCCCCCAACAATCTTTTATAGATATTGTGTTGACACCTGCAGTAATCACTTTTATTGATTTGTCCTTGTTGACTTTTCATAATACTAGTAACTCTCTTTTCATGCCAAGGCTTTATTGGCTTACATATTTTTAATTCAATTATGTAATTATCGAATAAATACAGCTTACATTGACAGATTTGGAAACAACACACGTCTCTTCATAAACAGACAACTTAACTGAAAGGAAGAAATAAAGGCGAACATGACACAGAGTGGCTTCATACTTGTTAGTAGATGTTAGTAAGCATGTTCAGTAATTTGCAGTCAATATGTTTTGCAATGGGAACAAAGAGAACCACTTCGTTCTGGTTACTATTGCTGGGTAATAAATTGATTCTGAAATTTTGCAGCTTAAAGCAATTATTTTATTAGGCTTATGAATTCGGCAGGTTATGAATTTGGATAGAGAATGGTGGAAAAGACTTGGATCTGCTTCAAGACGTGGAACCTCCATTGGGAAGGCTAGGTGGATGGGAGTGCCAGTGGCTGGGGTCCAGAATCATCTGGATGTCTCTTTATTCACACATCTGGCAATTGATGTGAACTATTGGCTGGGGCCTCAGCTGGGCCTCTCAACTGAAGCCCTTCCAGGTGATTGCAGCATAGATATCTTCTTACATGACGACTCAGGGCTTCGACAGTGAATGTCTCAGTAGATCTGTAGAAACTGCAGTATTGTCTTTTTTGGCTTAGTGCAGAGTTATTTTTGTTGGTTACAAATAGATGATAATGAGTATGTTTTCATGAGCTTTCTTTTTTGTCATCCATGTATATTCTTTGATGAAGTGTCTGTTCAAGTCTTTTGATGATTTTTTTTTTTTTTTTGAGATGGAGTTTCGCTCTTGTTTCCCAGGCTGGAGTGCAATGGCGCGATCTCGGCTCACCGTAACCTCCGCCTCCTGGGTTCAGGCAATTCTCCTGCCTCAGCCTCCTGAGTAGCTGGGATTACAGGCACGTGCCACCATGCCCAGTTAATGTTTTGTATTTTTAGTAGAGACGGGGTTTCACCATGTTGACCAGGATGGTCTCGATCTCTTGACCTCATGATCCACCCGCCTTGGCCTCCCAAAGTGCTGGGATTACAGGCGTGAGCCACCGCGCCCGGCCTTTTGATCATTTTTAAACTAGATTTTTAATTTTCTTAGTGTCAAGTTTAGAAAATTCTCAATGTATTCTGGATGATGCAAGTCCTTTATCAGATATGATTTTGAAACTTTTTTTCCATCTGTGACTTTTCCCTTCATGCTCTTCTCAGGGTCTAGAGAGAGCAAATGTTTTTAATTTGATGAAATCCTATTGGTCAATATTTTTTTATGTATTATATGTTTGGTGTCATATCTACAAATTCTGTGCCTAACCCTAGGCCACAGACAATTTCTCCTATGTCCTGTGTTTTCCTTTACAAGTCTTCTTTTTGTTGTTGTTGTTCGTGTTTAGAGACAGGGCCTCACTCTGTCATCCAGGCTGAAGTGCAGCGGCATGATCGTAGGTCACTACAGACTTGAGCTCCTCTGCTCAGGCAATCCACCCACCTCAGCCTCTCAAGTAGCTGGGACTACAGGCAGGTGCAACTGTGACTGGCTAATTACATTTTTTTTCTTTTGTAGAGACGAGGTCTTGCTATATTGCCCAGGCTGGTTTCAAACTCTGGTCTCAAGCAATTCTCCTGATTCAGCCTCCCAAAGTGCTGGGATTAAAGACATGTATTGCTGAGCTTGGCCTTCTGTAAGTGTTTTAGTTTTATGTTTTACACATAGATATATGATCCATTTTTAGTTGCTTTTTGAGTAATATGTGAAGGTTAGGTTGAAGTTCATGTCCTAGTATTCAAACATCATTTGTTGAAATGACTATCTCTTTCCCATTGAGCTGTTATTGCATCGTTGTCTAAAATCAGTTGGCCATCTTTGTGTGGGTCTATTTCAGAACTCTATTTTGTCATTGATTTATGTCTCTTTGACTTTGTCAGTAACTCATTATCTTAATTACGGTAGTTACAAGAAGTCTTAAAATCAGGTAATACAATTCCTCCAACTTCATTATTTTTAAAAACAGTTTTAGTGATTTGGTCACTTTGCTTTTTCATCAGAATTTTATTTTTAGTTTTCCATATCTGTAAAAACCTGACTAGGATTTTAATGGAAATTATGTTAAACCTGTAAATCAATTTGAGGATTGACACCTTTACTATATTGACATCTTTACTATGTTGAGTCTTAGAAATCCATGAACATGGTATGCCTCTCCGTTTCTTTAGATCTTAATTGGTTTTTTAAAGGTTTTGTACTTTTCAGCATACATGTTTTCTTAGATATATACTTAACTCTATCTTCTGTCCTTCCTTTCTTTTCCCATCAATGAGAAACAGTATGGTGTTTTAAATTTCAGTTGCCAATTGTCCACTAATAGTTTATAGAAATACATTGATTTTTGCATGCTGACCTTGTTTCTTGTGGCTTTGCTAAATCCATTTATTAGTTCTAAAAGGTTTTTTTTTTTTTGAGAATTTTTAATGTAGACAGTTATGTCATCTGAAGAAAGGCCCTGCTCTTCCTTTCTAATCTGCATACCTGTTTTTTTTCTTGCCTTACTGCACTGGCTAGGACTTCCAGTACCATGTTCAACAGGAATGGTGAAAACAGAAATTCTTGCCCAGTTCCCAATCTTAGGGGAAACCATTCAGCCTTTACCATTAAGTATAATGGTGCTCGCTTCGGCAGCACATATACTAAAATTGGAATGATACAGAGAAGATTAGCATGGCCCCTGCACAAGAATGATCATTAAGTATAATGGTAGCTATAGATACATAACATTACTTTTAATTACTGCATAATACTCTGAAATATTTAGTCACTGTTCTTTGGGGAATTTAGTTTGTTACCTATTTTTTGCTATTATGAGCAATGTTTTAATAAATGGCTATACAGAAAAATCTTTATGCACATCATAATTACAGACTCTCCAAATGCCCACACTCTCTGTTTCCCTCTTTTTACCAAGGTGCAGGATGTCAAGCACGGCCTGTGGTCCTCTGGTTGTCATCCCTTATCACCTGTAACTATCTCCTCTCCTTTCCTCATCATTGGTTTCCCTCCAACTCCTGTTTCATTTGCATGAGCACCCAAACAAGCTCTAGATGTACCATTCAACAAGCACTTCTGCCTCGTTTCCATATCATCTCGCAGCTGCTGCCTCCTCTGTTTCCCTTCATGAAACTTCTTGAGTTTTTCTTTGTCATTGCCTCTACTTCCTCCCTTCACATTCTCTCTTCAACTCACTCGAATGAGCCTTTGTTCCCACCTCTCCGTGGATAATATGCTTGTCAATGTCAGCCGTGACCCTTATGCTGCCAGTCCAATGGTCACTTCTTGGTTCTCATTTTAGTTGTCACTGACTCTTCTTGGAACACTTTCTTCATGTGACTTCATGACATCACACTCTAATTTCCTCGTAACTCACTGGCTGCTCCAGAACACATCTACTGGTTTATGCTCCCACCAGCCATGGCATCAGGATTGCGCGAGATTAGTAAAATGAACTGAGAAGTTTCTTCATTTGTTTCTAGCCCACAGAACAATTTAAATAGCAGAAATATTTTCAATTCCTTGGAGATTTTACATCACTTGCCTCTAAACTGCCTGGGCCAGCATATTTTTTTGAGGGAATTCTTAATGTAATCAGCTTATTTCACTGCTATTGACAAAGGCTGACATTTTGTTTTCTTTTATCCAATTTTTCCTTGCTTGTTGGATAGTGACGTAAAACGTGGACTATTGGCTTAGAAGTTTCTATGTTAAAGGGTCCTTGCTTTCCATTCTAGTTTACTGTATTTTAGTTAGGCCTAGAGAATTATGTTGTTAAGGAGAATGAGGATATTTGCAATGTTCAGCAATGACTGTCTCACACAGACTGCGGGATTAAGGAAAATGAAAGGAAGTTTGAAGCAACTCAGCCTTTTAGCAACAAAACTGCCCTCAATGATCAGGGACAATCGGCTCCGAATCCAAGCACTAGTTTTAAAACTACTGAAGCTGCAAACCTGTTTGTACAAGCAATGCACAGCGGAACTTCACTTCTTCCTTAAAAAATAGGTACATGTGTAGAGACAAACACAGATTTGAGCCCAAACCATGATCCAAACCATGGATGTTGAAATTGTATAAAGTTCTGGGGAAAATGGGACAACTGTTTGGGAACCACTCAAGAGGAAGAATTTGCCAGGATGGCTTTGAAGAGTCATTGCTGGGAGGGTTTCCCGGCGTGGTCAACTGGGAGGAAGCATCACTTCTGCTGACCCTCCACCCTCCTGGCAGTGCTGGGGAAAAACTGGCTTGCCATTTGTACTCAGTTCTCTGGCTGCTGTCCGCCAGGGACTTCCTTGCCTACTCTCACCCGCATTCGTCCTCATTTGCTGCTGGCTGTGGATGCAGGAATAGCCAAGGGAGAGGGACATGCTACACTAAGGCTGTGGGTGCTATAGGGGGGCTGGCCCCAAAGGGCTCATCGTGCCAACTTTACAGATGAGAAAATAGGCTCAGATAAGTTAAAAGACTGCTTGAATTTTACCCTGAATCAGAAACAAGTCCAGAATCATTACAACATGGGTCTTGAATCTGAAGATGCTTTGCTGACTACCCCCCAAAAATAAATTTGCCTGTGGGGCAGTTTTCAGGAGCTGGGGATTGCGGACTGGGGGGAATGTGTGTCATCCAGGCACTACTGCTCCTGGTGGCCAGTGGGAGCGTTTTCAGCGAGACTAAACCATGACGGCTGGGGTCCCATTAGGGGCATGAAGGAGATGGGGGCACTAACCAACCTGTCATGTGTAGTGGGAGGCCTGCTAGTCACTGACCGAGGCATGAGTTGGTTCCTAAAAAGGGGGAAATAAATGCATGACTTGGAATTTCTATTTAAGAGTGTTTTAGGGACCGTCTTCTGGGGGTGGGGCTAGATGTGCCATTTTATTTAGATGGTGTGTTTCCGGGGTGGCTGAGGGTGTGGGAAGATGGGAGTTTGGAGGGTCTGACTTTCTTCAAATGTCCCCTGGTGTTTCCAGTGCTTGCTGTTGATTGTTGGGGTGTAGAGCATTTTTGAGGATGCCTGGGTGCAGAGGACAGTGCTGTTCGTGGACATTGGGCTGCCCACTTCTCTACTGAAACCGTTGATGTTCAAACAGGACTATGCCCCAGAGTCATTAGGACAAGCTGAAAAATAAAGATTTGAGCCGGGTGTGGTGGCTCACGCCTGTAATCCCAGCACTTTGGGAGGCCTAGGTGGGTGGATCACAAGGTCGAGAGATCGAGACCATCCTGGTCAACATGGTGAAACCCCGTCTCTACTAAAAATACAAAAAATTAGCTGGGCATGGTGGCGCGTGCCTGTAATCCCAGCTACTCAGGAGGCTGAGGCAGGAGAATTGCCTGAACCCAGGAGGTGGAGGTTGCAGTGAGCCGAGATCGCGCCATTGCACTCCAGCCTGGGTAATGAGAGTGAAACTCCATCTCAAAAAAAAAAAAAAAAAAAAAAAAAAAAAAAAAAAAAAAAGAGAAAAATAAAGATTTGTAGGATCTACTCCTGACCACCCGTAGCCCCTCTCTCCAAGGGCTACTAAGCCCAGAGACCTGAGATTTGCTGTTTTTAGAAAAAAAAAAAAAAAAAAAAAAAAAAAAGGTTTTATTGAGGTGAGACTCATATTACATATAAGCTTATACATATTAAAACGTAATAAGTTGATAACTTTTGAAATGATCACAATCAATCACAATGACTACAACATTGATCGTCCCTCATCCTCCCCATTATCTTTGTGCCCGTTGAGATATGTCCTTCCTGCCCTATACCACACTTGGGTGATGACTGCTCTGCTCTCACACTATAGATTCATTTGCATTTCCTAGAAGCTTCTAAGATGGAACCACACAGTAGGTACTCTTCTCAGTCTGGCCTCTTGCACTGAATATAATTGTTTTGAGTCTCTGGTGTGCACATTCCTTCCTTTCTTCTTTTTTTTGGGGGGCGGAGGGACAGAGTCTTGTTCTGTCACCCAGGCTGGAGTGCAATGGCCCAATCTAGGCTCACTGCAACCTCTGCCTCCCATTTCAAGCCGTTCTCCTGCCTCAGCCCCTTCTAGTAGCTGGGATTACAGGTGTCCGCCACCATGCCCGCCTAATTTTTGTATTTTGTTTTTAGTAGAGACGGGTTTTACTATGTTGGCCATGCTGGTCTTGAACTCCTGACCTCATGTGATCCGCCTGTCTCAGCCTTCCAAAGTGCTGGGATTACAGGCATGAGCCACCGTGCCTGGCTTCCCTTTTTTTGTTTTCTGAGACAGGGTCTCACTCTGTCACCCAGGCTGGAGCTAAGATTGCATCACTCCAGCCTCAACCTCCTGGGGTCAAGTGATCCTCCTGCCTCAGCCTCCTCCCGAGTAGCTGGGATTACAGGCCTGCATCACCACACCTGGCTATTTTTTTTCATAGAGATGGGGTTTCTTCATGCAGCCCAGGCTGGCCTCCAACTCCTGGGCTCAGGTGATCTGCCCACCTCAGCCTCCCAAAGTGCTGAAATTACCGGCATGTAATCTCACCATGCCTGGCCAGTGCATTCCTTTTTACTCTTGAGTAGTATTTCTTGGAGTGTCTGTAATACAAGTTATTTATCCATTCAGCGGCTGATGGACATTAGGGCGGTTTCCACACTGGTGCTGTTGCAAACAAAACAGTTATGTACAGTTAGGTCCAAATCTTTGTATGGACAGGTGTTTTCCTATCTTTTGAGTAAATACATAGGAGTAGAATGGCTGGGTCGGATGACAGGTCTATGTTTAAAATTTTACGGAACTCCAAACTGTTCTCCAAAGAGGTCATACCATGTTATATTCCTAGCAACAACGAATGAGGAACTCAGCACTCCTAGGGCCAACTCTCGCGACTGTGACCCTATTCCCGAGGCTTTATAATCCTGCTATTTTTCCTGTGAGCAAAAAAGTGATAGAGGAACAAGATCTAGAAAAAACAGTTCTAGTTGCATCAGAGTATCTTACTCAGGGTGGGGGCATACAAACTCCAAGGGGCCTGGGCCGGGAGGCTGAGAAGCGCAGGCCTGTTCCCACCTCCCAGGTGCGTGTGAGCCGATGCTCCGCGGGAGCGCAGACCGTTCCCCGCGTGGCGCTCAGAGCCCGAGGGCTCCCTCCGGGTCCGCACCTTCTGCCCCCAGGAAGGAGTCATTTTCCCCCCTCGGGGGGGTCCGCCGAGCCGCATCTGCCACAGTCACGAAGCTTTCCTGGCAGCTCCTGGAGCTCAGGGAAAATCCAGAAGCAGCTCTTTCCTCAAGGAAGACGTTCACGGCCCGGCCCCCACCCGCGCCGGGTCTCGGGCCAGCGCTTCGCGGCTGATCCTGCAGGATACAGAGCGCCTGCGGAGGAGAGCTGCTCCCACGCCCCGGGCGCGGCCCCGCAGGCCGCCAGTGACCCCGGCGGCCTGGCCCCCACGCGAGCGGTGGACCCGGCCCCTCCTCCAGGATGCGCCGCCGGCGGCGGGGGTTTTCGAACCCGCGGCTTCGAGCGGCTTCTCGGCGGCGCCGAGGCACAGCCTCCGCAGGCCGGAAGCCACGCGCTCCTCAAAGCCACGAGGAGCAGGGCGGGGGGGGGGACTGCGGGTCAGAGCAGCCAGGCCCTCGGGGAGGCGCGGCGCGGGGCCCGGCGGGGTGCGGGGCGCGGGGCTCAGGGGGGTGCGGGGCGCGGCGCGGGGCTCAGGGGGGTGCGGGGCGCGGCGCGGGCTCGGGGGGGGGGGTGCGGGGCGCGGCGCGGG